GTATGCCATTCGATTATACGATGTCAATATATATTTGGTACCCCAATTGAATCAGTTTCTTGGTGAATGACGAATTTATCCTTTCACATTAAAGAAGAAGAACTCAGGTAAAAATCAACAATACCTATAGTCTAATCAACAAGTTCAAAAACATGAAAAATAGAGATAAAGCTCCTAAAAATATGAGCTCATTCGATTCGGATCACCTCTAGAAAAATTTTTTCGAAGGATTTTGGTGCAGGTAAAAAATTGCAATTGTTATTAACAAAATAATATTGAAAAAAATGATATTTAGTTTGTCGTTTGTTTAAAAAAAATATTTCTTTTGATAAACTCTCTTTAGCGGCAGCGCGCGCATGCCGTAACAGCCGCGTGGAACCCTATTTTCAACGTCAAATTAAAATTATAAATAATGGAGATAGAGTTTCGGGAGTCAGGACTTTTTTATGGGAAATTTCCTCCTCTTTAACGAGCTTTTTTCAAAATCGCTTAAATATTAATATTTTTTGAGTTAATAACGAAAAACTAAATATCATTTTTTTAAATCTTATTTTGTTAATAACAATTGCAATTTTTTACCTGCACCAAAATCCTTCAAAAACATTTTCTAGAGGTGATTCCGAATCGAATGAGCTATCGCTCATATTTTTAGGACCTTCATCTCTATTTTTCATGTTTTCGAACTTGTTGATTAGACTATCATAAGATATTGACATACTTTGGTGAACCCACCGATAATATAACTAGTTTTTTGAAAAAGTAAGACTTGGACGTGACTTACATAACAAATATAATTTAAGCAAATTTATTGAAAACAATACAGCCAAACTTTTGGTGTCGGATAGATCACGATTATATAAGTTGACTTGTGGTTTTTGACTAAAACTCTATATTGGCCAAACAGAGAGAACATCTCTTCGAAGAATAAAAGAGCACATGGTTAGTTTCTTGAATTTGAAGAATAATTTCAGAGGAGCATGAGTACATGAGTATTACGAAAGAGAAAGATATGAAACTCGATCTATTGGAGTTCAATAGATTTGAAAATTGTGAAAATTCACTGAATGACCAGATATAATTGAATAAGTCCCCTTCATTACATTTTTTTCCAATGTGGAAATTGAAAGTAGTTTATACGTTAACTAAGATAATTTTCATCACTTAAACGAGTTTGTGAAATTTCTTTTCTAATACTTAAATTTGTAATTAGTTTTTTCATACTCAGGTAAAAGTATCAGNTTCAATTCAAGAGCCACCGGTAGACAGCTTTTCCATCCTATCGGGCATCATCATTATTGGCCAGGCCGTCCTCGATTGAAGACAATCTGTGAAAATCCAATGCGAGTACTTCATAAAAATTATTGCGTGAACCCAAGCGTGGAACCACCTTCATTTTGTAGTCAGAGGAGAGAAAATCAAAATCAAAAAGACCACGGTCGTTCCGTACTGGTGGATTTTCACCACCTAAAATCTCTCCTGTCCGAGCTCCAAGTACTGGATTCCTGGCCATATTGGCCAGGCAATTAGGCTCCTGACTACCTTGCAAAGGAGCGTGATGCAAGGAGTTTCATCGGACCAGAACATGTCATTGGCATCGCTTTAGGCTTTGCCAAACAAACATTGAACACCTGGATGGCAAAAATATTTATGGACATCTGGGAGAATCTTCCAGGATTGGCTCACTCCAAAGCGTTTATTCACCCTTCGAAGCTTGATACCAAGCAGTTGTTGGACTACATTAGGGATGAACTACGGTGTCTAACAGGCTTTTTTACAGGTCACTGTCATTTGAATTATCATATGTAGAGACTCGAACTATCGGAAGTCAGTGTGTGTCGCCTTCGTTTGAAACACATACTTTGTGCCTGCCTCGCTGGGGACCAAATCAGATCTTTAGAGTTCGGCAGAGCCGTACTCTTACCATCTGACCTGAAAGACCACTCACCATACAAACTAATCGGCTTTGTTAAGAAGCTGGGTTTATTTGGTCGAGTGTGAATCGGTGTGACCCATAATAAACCCTTGCGGGAGGGTCGAACAGACCCACTCACTTTTGACCTAACCTAACCTAACTGACCTAACTGAAACCGCTTTCGCACTACTTCGGTACTTGGGCTGCTGAGCCACTATTGATGCTTTATATATCCTTCCATGTGCCTCCTCTTGACATCCTCTTCATCACCTATCCTCCACTTCTTTGGTTTCGATGATAGATGATACTGTGTTATCCGCATAATTCCACGGCTTTTTCCTACTTTGGAGACTTTGCATCATGTTTTCTGCACAGAAAATGCTTCCCGTTTTGCGTAAAAATACAGTCCTTGATTCTTGGCATCTTGTATAGGTAAAGAGTGTATGTTCTACGTCGCCTTCAACTTGACAATATGGGCAATTTGGGAATTTAGCTCTCCTGCGATCATAAAGGTATTTGCGGAAACAACGGTGGGAAAGGAAATAATCCACTTCTCCGAAAGGTCTATTGATCCAGACCTAAAAATCTGGATTTAAGGAGTTTGTCCATCTCACATGAATTCCTCTTTCCCATTTCTGTTGCCAACTGACTCTTGCATTCGACCTCTGTAAGCCTGAATATTGATCTTTCCTCTCGCTAGTTTGCAATTCTATTGGAGGAATTGTCGGTATGACGCCGACCGCCTCTGCGGATATTGTTCGGTATGCGCTGCATATCCGTATCACCAGTTTTTTCAGCAATTGGGTAAGTTTTAGAAGAAGCTTTTTGTTATTGAGGACTGTGTACCAGCAAGGTGAACCGTACACCATTTGGGAGTGCACCACGCTGAATGTGACTAATTGTTTCGATGCTCTGGGGCCACTTATATTGGGCATCAGCATTGCTAGTGCAGCCACGGTTCTGTCGGCTTTGACTACGATTTGGCTTATATGTTCACCGAGAGTGAGCTGTGTGTCTAACATATACCCAAATATTTCACAGCTTTGCTGAGTCTAATCGATGTTCTTTGGATGTCGAAATTTATTGGTTATAGTTTCCTTCTCTTAGACAGTAGTACAGCTTCAGTCTTCTTGAGGGGCCAATTACAAGCGCAGCCGGTTAATTTTTTCTGAGATACAGACTAGTCCCATGTTCGTCAAGTTCACCAGAAGGACTTCTGTTTCTGCTGACACTATAGCGGCAACATCATTCGCGAAACCAATAAGTTTTATTCCATCAGGCATTTCCGATTTCAGAAAGTCGTCATATAGGATGTTCCATAGTGTGGGCCCCAGCACCGACCCCTCGGGCACACCACTACTTATTTTAATAGATTCGACACTTCCTTCGCTCTCTGACAAGTATGAGAAGTGGAACCACACATTCCTACGACGTAAAACTATCAGGCATCAGTACAACATTTTTCATTTGGAAGATTCGTCGCAAGTAATTTCCTATATATGAAAAGCTGAAATTAATTTCATTTGGTGGGGACGACCAACGATAGAACGGTTTCGAAGTACTAGCTTCTTCTTATCTCAAAGCATTTCACATGATTCATAATCATTGATGTTCATATTTCATCAGTTCGGACTTCCATTGTCTAATATAATATAAATTGATTTGAAATCCCTAAAAGATGTTGAGAAGATTAACCGATTAACCGGTTAATCTTTTTAATTTCTTACAGGGATTTCAAATCAATTTATATTATACTAGACAATGGAAGTCCGAACTGATGAAATACACCACGAAACATTGTCAACCACCTTCAAACAAACATTGATGTTCATGTTCAATAGAAATAAGTTCATCAATAACGTAATAGAATATATAGAAGGTATAACTTCTACTAATTTTCACTGTATTTCTCTCATAGAAGAAATATTCTGATTTGTAGATTCATCAAAATTAGCTACACATCTAAAGAATTATTTTCTGAACATATTTTCCGATTTATAACAGATTTATAACCAACACTTTATAATTTCAAGATCACACAAACAAAATGAATGCCATTTCTTTCAAAGTTAGATTCGAATGAATAAAAATTCACTATATTTTTGGAACACATCAGTACATAACTCTTTAATTCATCATAAAATTAACTCGTATGAGCCATAATGATAATAATAATAATAATGATGATAATAATAGATAGCTCGTAGATGGAAGCATTCTACACCATCTGCATGCCGGAGAGACGTATACTTACCTCGGGGTGGAACACCGTTACTCACAAGAGTTAACAGCAATGAAGAACTCTCTCCGCGGCAAGTATCAGCACAAACTTCGACAGATCTGGTCATCGGAACTGTCGGAGAAGAACAAAGTTGCTGCAACAAATATACTTGTTGTTCCAATCTTACTCTACTCGTTTGGAGTAGTGAAATGGACTCGGGAGGAGCTGTATCAACTCGACGTAAAGACCCGAAAAATGATGCATCTCTATAGAAGTTTACATCCCAAATCGTCCATTCCACGGTTGTATTCCCCCCGACAAAAGGGAGGCCGTGGACTTTTGAGTTTTGAGTGTCTACATGACAGAATGGTACTGGATGTAGCCTGTAAAAACGTCAGGAGTTCGGACCCCCTTTTCTGCATAGTCCCCGACCATGAGATATCAGGAATTGGAGGAATTCTCTTCAGGGCAGCTGCTCGAGCAGCTGATGAACTCGGTTTAGTTTTCGACACTGAACGAGGTGATAACAACTCTGTCACCGAGTTGGAACCTTTTCAGCAAAAAGCACATATAAAAGTCACAGAGATCACCTCACTTTTGCGGAAACACCTTGGCTTATCAAAGCAGCTGACTTTCGCTTTTCTCAGGTCGAGTGGGCTGAAGTCAGAAACTGAGGAGTTCATCATGGCTTGCCAGGATGGTGTCTTCAACAACTTAGCCTACCGCAGTCGCGTGATGGGTGTAGTGGTCCCTGACACAAGGTGCAGGGTCTGCCGCGAGGCGCTAGAGACCCTAATGCACTTGGCTCACTGCGCTTGCTTAGACACATGATTTTCGAACCCAATGATCACTTACCCCACGGTGTGGGGAGTGATCGTTGGTTGATACTACTGGCGCGCCCTCCCGAATGTATCGGGGCTCCGGGGTATAGGGCCTGACCAGCGTATACCTCGGTAAAAAAAATTATTCACAGCAATATAAAGGTACAGATTGTGAATACCACGAAAGCAGTACTGCTTGTGTCTGGATATACATAAATATAT